GGAGCTGTACGGCCTGGCGCTGCGCTTCTTTAAAGGTGAGCGTCCGCTACGCTCCTCTCCGCCGGCCCGTAGCCCGCCCGGGGCCACGGCCCGCAGCAGGGCTCCGCCCTTGGGGTCCCCGAGCCGTGTCACTGCCCGCTCGGCCACCAGGTCACCTCCCGAGCGGCCTGGGACCTTGGCTTGTGTCCCCACAGGCCGCGTCCCGAGGCTGCGCCTTTCTACCCTCCTCTTTCTGCCGGCCTTTCCCTTAGCGTGGACATCAGCCCTTCCTCCAGGGAAGACGTCCCTCCGCAGGTTCTGCACCGACTCCATCCATCCGTCCTGGGGTACCGGGCACCCGGCAGGACTTAACCATCTGACAGTAGGAGTGTGGCCGAGGGAGGAAGTGAAGTGTTGAGCCACTGCATCCCCCCTGGCTGCTCAGAAGCAAGAGGAAAGAGCTGTCCACTATGTTCTAGCAACTTCTGGACGACTCCATTTACCCCCTCGAGTCCATCAGCCTCACTGCAGGGGAGAGGTGGGCAGTCTCCTCTCGTGCGATTTACAACCTTTGAAAATCCTCTGGAGGTTCTGCTGTGGCTCGGTTCTGGCTCGAGCTGCACAGCCACAATGAGCGGTTTGGAAGAGTGAATTCTCAGTCAGGTCTCAAAGTCCCTCCCCTCCTGTGCTGCTAGCAGAATTGCAAACCTTCCTGTTACTTTCTCCCTCCTTCCTTAGAGCAGGGTTATACTGTGTGGGGTTTTAATGGAATAATTCCCTTAGTCAAGCGGTGGTAACAGTCATGTGATTCCCCCCCCCCCCAAGTGGGAAAGACAAATGACTTGTTGGTTTGAGTCTTAGAGATAGTCCGTTTTCTTACGGGGTGGATGAGGAAATGATAATTTCAAATGAGACACTAAAAGTGGCTGCTGGGTTCTCTTATTTCCAGACCAGCATATTTATGACCATCTTCCTGCAGGGAGTGCCTTTATAAAGTACATATTTGCTAGCTGACATTGAATGTCAGTGTAGTGGTAGAACCCAAAGTTACCTGATTTCTCACAAAATGCTTGAACTACAACTCGAAGACAACCAACAACAATATTAAGTCTTCATAATATTTTGAATAGTATGAATTAATAAGTTATCAATTTACAATGAAAAAAGATGAACCATAGAAAAATGTCCCATTATAGATTCCCCCCCAGAGCATTTGATCACTGCTTTTTTTAATTTAAAAAATTTGCCCTCTTAGTGTAATATCTGATATGCCCTCTATCTGAAGACAAGATATTAAATGGAATTTTGGAACTAGGAGATGGAATAGGGACTTCCTCCATGCATCGACCTGGTATTGCAGTACCTTCAGGAATGGTGGGAAAATGACCCTTGAAATATTGTCTTTGCTCAGCTCTCTCAGCACTGACTAGGCAGCTTGGGGATTTGGTAATGACAAATGGGTTTGGGGTACTTGACCCAGAGGTCACTAGCTGGAATGTTAAGAGTTGGCTGCTGTTGTTGTTGTTAATGTGCCGTCGAGTCGCCTGGCGACCCTATGTACAACAGCCCTAAACTCCGCTCTGTCCTGTGCCAATCGCACTGTCTGATGATAAATCACCATTTCTAGAAAAATCTGGTGATTTCTGTACAATTTCTAGAACGAGACTTTTCCTTAAAAGTTTTAATCCACTATTCAGTGTTGAAACAAAGAGAGCATACCTTATTATTCAGTGTTCCGTGGTAATATTGTAATAAAGAGAGTGTCCTCACTCCTTATTGCCTCACTTGTTATTGTGGAGTCCATTCCCCTTACAGTGACCTGTAGAACGCAGTAGGACCAACTGCTGCTTAGTGTTTCCAGGGAAGCAGGCTGCCCCCATCTGCCCCTCATTTAAGACCCAGAGCACTTAGCCACTCTGCCATTGGGGATCCTCAGAATGCAAGCCTAGCACATTGTGACAGAAAAATAAATTGATAATTTAATCTTCTGAATTTATTTTGTGTTTGAAAATTGTAGTGTCTGCTTTGAAAGCTTTAAATACTGTATAGCATGCAGTAAATTTAGCTTTACTTTGGGAACCAGGAACTGCTGGAGTCTAGTTACTGTGTTCAATTTCTGGATGACAGTGTTTTTCTTCCAAGCTTGATTTCCTGTTTTGTGTGCGGTTTTTTGTTTCAAGGAAGTAGATTAGCTTATAATCAATAGCCCAGATTTGATGGCTTGTACCTAGCAGGGGGAGCTCTGATATCCTGTTGGGGAAGGAGTTCTGCTGCGACCTCAAAGATGGTGGTTTGAATCCACTAGCTGCTCTAATGGATAAGGATGGGCTATCTCCTCCCATGCTATTTACAACTTCAGAAACCCTGCTGGAGGGTCAGCTGTGGATAAATTCTGACACCATAGCACTTTAACAACAGCATACCTGACAGATTATTTTAACATTTATTTTATGGTAGGGATTCCAGAAAACCTGTAATTCGGGCCCTATTTATCTAAGTGACTTGAGAAGAAAGTTCTGTAGATAACAGTGGCTCCCTCAGTTCCTCATTTAAACTCCTAAGCAGTGTCCACATGCTGTGAAGGAGAAAGTACAGCACAGGAGCAAGTAAAGCTCCCTTTGTGCATGGATCACTGCTTTACCTCACAGTAAAGAGGCTGTTAGTATAGGAGATGCCATTTAACAGGCTAGGTGGTTGTGGGGTACAGAGCTAAAAGTTCTTAGACTTGCAGAAAGTAGGTTTAAGATCCTGTTGCTGCCTTTATTTAAATGTAGGATTTTTTCCCCTAGTAGAATACATGTTTTAATCAGTGTTGCATGGATTTTGTGACTTTGTACCAATTAGATTACAAATAGCTTTACATATTCTCTTTTGCTGTATAGCAAACATTTTTAAAGTGTAGATAGATTTTCCTTGAAAGTAGCTTGGATGGGGAATCAGGAACCCTGTTCCTCATTCTAGCCAGGATGAGGTAGACATAGACAGTAACTGAAACCATGCTGATATCCTACCCACTTGATTATGTATGTTTGCATGCTGACATATACATGCAAGTTTACAAAGCCAAAGCAATTTGATTTTCCGCTCGGCTACATTTTATGACATTAGTGGTAAGGCATTGCACTGCCAAACCAAAGGCTCACAGTTCAAATCTGCAAGCTGCTCCTCGGGAGAAAGATGGGCTTCTCCTCCCGTGTGATTGAATACCTCTGAAATCCCGCTGGAGGGTCAGCTATGAGTGCTTTCCAACTTGATGGTACAGAACCACAACAGTGTAACCAAACTCTTCCCGTTTCCTACCTGATTCTCGTTTCCATTACTGTGTCCAGCCCACCTGTTCTGCCTCTGACCGGTGAACAAATGCTGCTCTTTTGTTATTATATGGATAATACTCCTAAGGAATGATTTCTTCCTTGCTGTTACCAGCTTATAAGCCTAATATTGTATAACAAAAGTTGAAAAGTACTGATGAGTTTTGTCCTAGGTTCATGGTCGCCACCAGCCATGATCTCAGTGCGTCCGTGCGTCCACCATCCTCTCTAACCAGGAAGCCTGGCCATTTTCCTGGTATTGCATATTCTTCCATTCTGTCCAAGACCTTCTGCTTTGACCACGTTGAGTGGTCAGCAGTGGAAGCTGGGTACCAGGTAAGATCTCGAGGTCTCAGCATTGTAGCCAAAGGTGCTCCTTAGAGACACCATCTCACATACTTTGAACATGTTATCAGGAGGGCCTCATCCTTGCCAGAGAACATCCTGCTTGAAAAAGTTGAGTCCATGAAGGAGGCCAGCCTCCGAAAAAGTGGATTGACATAGTGACTGCAAGGATGGTTTGGGATTAGATTTCGACCTCAGTTCTATGGGTTCGAAAGCATGTAACAGCACCGGCTTTATTTGGTAGACATTTGTTGACTCCTCCTTATGTTGACTTAGGTTAGCACTATGAATAAAGAACCCTGGTGGCATAATGAGGAATGTATTGGGTTCCTAACCCAAAGGTCAACAGTTTGAATCCATCAGACACTCTGCAGGAGAAGGATGGGGATTAGTCTTCTATAAAGATTTACAGCCTTTGGGTGGCTAGCGTTCAGCTAATAGTAATATTGTTTATTTACTTTTTATGCTCTTGCGAGTTAAAAAGGAGCCTGGGAGAAAACATTTAAGTTTAAAAAATTTTATATTTTTACTCTGGAGAAATTTGAAGATGTACAGAATCAGAATTGTGTAATGAACCTCCAAGTACCCATAACCAAGTGCTTTGTACCTGTTCACTTCCTAAGGTATCTATAAATATTTCATGTATGCCTCCAAAATATGATGACTGGTGGTTGTTGTGGGGTTTTTTTTCCCTTTTCCTAAAGATGACAGAGGAAGCTCTGGTGTCTTAGTGGTAAGGAACTACATTACCAACCCAAAGGCATGCAGTTCAAATTCAGCAGGAGAAAGATGGGTGATCTAGTCAGGTATCTAATCCAAGGAGCTGACAGCAGGCCAGGTGTAGCACAGCCCACAAGCTCCCTCCCAGAGAGCACAGAGCTTCCCTCTCTGAGTACACTGTGGTGTGGTGTGGCCTGAAGGAGAACTGGGCTTGAGGCAGGTGGCAAATGCTGCCAGCCTGGTGGGTTGGGTAGCGGGAACATCACTCTCCTAACCTTGAAGAGTAAGGGGATGGGTACATGGGACATGAGGGAAAATTGCACATTTTCTGTCAGCTAGCTACCTTTCCAGACAACACCCCCCACCCCCCAGTTCCCATGCCGCATGGACAGCTGTTCAGAATGGGTGTCCTGCACTCTTTACAGTTCTGTGCTCCATTGATCTCTTTGTTCAGTGTTTGCAAGCCATTTCCTTGCTTTAGTCAGGGGTTGGAGTGTTTGTCTTTTCTCTTTAAACCGTGGCTTCCACAACTGTCATCTCTGTCTGGTGTCTTCAGTGCATCAGGGACTGTCTCTTCACACTAGTCATCTCTTACTGGGCACCCTGCCTGCATCCATCTCTCGCCAGGTAGACCAGCTTAGCCTCCTCTGAGAGCATCAGAAATTCTGCCCCAGATGGGGTACCCCACCCCTTGACACACCCTCTAGGATCTGAAGAGGTGCTTACTTATGACCTGGCTCACATTTTGAGGCCTTGGTCATTAGACAGGAAGAAACTTGCCTGACTGGACACCCTAGTCCTAGTGTTCTGCTGGGCTGGTATGTGCCAGGCCAGACAGTTTAGGTTCTACTTCTTAAAGCAGATGCATTTGTTTTGTGCTATTGGTATGTTTGGTTGCTCTTCTGTTGTGACACTTGTCTGTTGGTTTCCTGTATTGGGGTGACTTGTGTGTTGCTGGAAGTAATGTCACC